CCTGCGCGGACAGGAGGAGAGGCCCCTGCGCGGACAGGAGGAGAGGCTTTGCACAGTCTGGAAGCAAGGACCTGGTGTGGTCTGAAGTCGAGACCTGGTGCTGTCTGCTTGAAGGACTGTAATGCTGAACTTTTTAGTACTTTATTTTTCTAATTTATTCTTAGGATCTGTACCTAGGTATCTTTGTATCTAAGATGGCACCTTAAGTGGCTACTCTCTAAACTTTTCACTGCACTCATGTAAGTACATGTAATAATAACACAATTCTAATTCTAATTCTGAAGGGACAGTTGTCTATTATTTACTCACTATGACATTACGAATCAGTCCTTGTGGCTCTAGTTTCACTTCTTCACAGGGTTTACAACATAATTCACTGACTAGAAAGCAGAGACACCCTTGACAATAAAACTGTAAAGATTCAGCCGACTCCTCATACTTCATCTCAGGTTTACTGAGTATCCCGTGGCACTGACTGCACGCATAGATTATCTGTAGTCACTGCAAAATCTCAAACCACCCTCAGAATCTCTCATGTCCTTTCTTGATTCAGTTAAGCCCTAGTCACTAAGATTTTCTTTCTTCCAGTTTGAAACTACCTGGACTTAACTATTCAATTTCATCCACTCTAGTCACAGAGGGAGTTGGTTAGTTCAAGTGGATGACTAGCTGGCTTGTACTGGTGTATGATACTAGCAGCACAGGTTCAATTCCTGCACCAGCTGAGGTTGCCATGAAGGATTCTCGTTCTCAACCTCTCCCCTCACCTGAGGTATGGTAACTCTCAGGTTAAACCATCACCAGTTATATGTATACATACGTCTCTGATGAGAGAGTGTCCTATGGGTAGCTAAGACTATAGTGACTTTACCTTACATTTAACTCTTTGGCTAAAAAGTGAATGCATTTTCATTTCACAGTTCCACAGTCTCCAAATTGAGATAATTGCATGCTTCTTGAATTGACCAGTTTGGCATTAATCCATTAGCATGCTAATAATACTCAAATGATTTCCTTAAAACTAAAAATAGACACAACATGCAAAACAAACCAATGGATTTCCTCCACTCTTCCCACCCCCAAATGAACAGTTACATTTTTGTGCCTTTGGACATTTTTCTAAGTGAACCAAATCTTCTTTCTCCTCATTTGTACCTGAGATAATGAACATGACTCCCCCAACGGTAGCCACTTGGCCCTTCTTCGTTTTATCATCAGCAAAACATGTTGTGCATTTCATTCCCGTTGCAGCAATCAGGATTGCTAGGGTTCCCAGTAGTATTGCGATGATCATCAGTGCTCGAGTAGCCTGTAGCGTACCTGAAAAAGATAAGCAGACAGTAACAAATCCTTATAACTAGTTAAGATCAGTTTTTGTCTGTCCTATCATTTAACACAGTTTCCAAACTGAATGGTTCAAAACTATTAAGAATGTTCAATGCTGACCACATCTTTATTGCTGGTCACCCAACTCTCAAGAGATTACAAACATTTACAAAGGGAAGATCTTGTTACAAAATTATCTTCCTTCCTGTATCACATAGGAATCCAAAACATTCCACTGACCCATGGGATTGCAAGATAAATCTTAAAGAAGAGATAGGTCCTAGATTTTCCGGATTTGAGGAGAATGAGGGATGATCTTATTGGAACACAAAGTTTTTAAAGAGCTTGACAGAATAGATTTAATTATTGACCTTTTCAGGCCCAACAGATTTAATTTTGGGTAGAACAAAATTAATAGATAGAGTTAAGAAAGAAAAATTGAAACCCAGGGATTCACCAGAGAAGCAAAAACCCTAGTGGGATGTAACATTAGATTTGGAGCAGAGTCAGGGAATGATTAAAAGAAATTACCTTGAAATACTACAGTTGTCTAGAATGCTATGGAAAACAGAAAAGAAGGAAAACTAGCTGTGTGTGGCTGAGTATATAGAGTCAGAGATATACAGCATGGAAACAGACCCTTTGGTCCAATTTGTCCATGCCAACCAGATATCCTAAATAAATCTAGTTCCAAAATGCCAGCATTTGGCCCATACCCCTCCATACCCTTCCAATTCATATACCTATCCAGATGGTCTCTTAGTGTGTTCTGAAGCTGGTGAATGGTAAATTTGATTGTCCATCTGAACAATGTAGTGAATTTGGGCAAGTTCCAGAGATGCAGTCAGCAGAAGAAACTTTGGCAACACTGACAGTTTGGGCTATTAGAAATCATTGTTTCTTAACTTGCTTCATTTTGTTGGAGTGGAATTTTTTCAGGTGAGTCCAGTTTGCATGGACTTTGGATGATCCTTTGAGTGAGGCACAACAATGGATGTAGGGGCCCTCATGAATACAGAGGCAAATTGTTGGCTTTCGGTTAATAGTGAACAACAGGTGTTATAATTGGGAAGTCAAATATGCCATAGTTGATAGGATAAAAGAGTCTGCCCTTTGGCAGAAAGAATAGAAGAGCTGAATATTATTTAAAGAGAGAGACTATATGAAGCTGCAGTACAGAGGGATTTGGGGGCTGTTATGTATAAATCACAAAAAGCTGGCAATAAAGTTCAGCAGGCAATCAGAAAGGCATGTAGAATGTTGGTCTTTATTTCAAAGGGAGTACTGTGCAAAAATAGGGATGTAAAAAATAGGAATAAAACTACACAAGGCACTAGTCAGCGTACACCAAGAACATTATTCCTCTATCTGAAAAAGATACACTGGACTGGAGGCAGTCAACAGAGGGTTCACTAAGTCGAGGATCAGCCATGATCTTATTGAATGGTGGAGTAGACTTGATGGGCAGAATGGCCTACATCTGCTCTTATACCTTATGGTCTTAAGAAAGGATGTCAGACCATCTTGGGTATCTAGAATCAAAGGAAGACAGTCTCACAATAAGGGGCAGGCTATTTGGACTGAGACAAGGAGGATTTTTTTCACTCACAGAGTGTTGAATCTTTGGAATTACCTGATCTGGAGGGCTGTGGAAACTCAGTCAATAAGTCAGACAAAGACAGAGATTGATTGATTTACAGATATTAAAGATATCAAGGGATGTGGGAATAGTACCATTTATTGTATTGAGACAGAAGATAAACCATAGCCTATTCACAGATTCCTTACAGTGTGGAAACAGGCCATCGAGTCTATACCTACACTCCAAAGAGCAACCCACCCAGACCACACACCCCAACTATCCCTGCATTTCCCATAGCTAATCTACCTAGCCTGCACATCCCTGGACACTATGGGCAATTTAGTACGGCCAATCCACCTAACCTGCACATCTTTGAGGGGAAACCCATGCAGATATGGGGAAAACTTGCAAACTCCTGACAATCACCTGAGAGTGGAACCAAACCCGGGACCCTAGCGCTGTGAGGCAGTAGTGCTAACCACTGAGCTACCATGCCACCTCAGGTATAGCATATCAGGGTTTGAGGAGCCAAATTACTTACTCCTAATCCTATTTCTTATCTTTCTATTTAGAAGGCAGTTCACCAACTAAAGGAAGGTGCAGAGTGGATTTCTCCTGGACTCAGTACCATGACTACTGCTCTTTATAATATATGGATTTGGTAGTACAGGACATAATTTCAAAATGTGCCAATTACATTAAATTTGAAAGCAAGTCAGCAGTGAAGAAAATAGTGAGAGTCTTTAAAAAGAACACTCAGGCTGGTAGAATAATCGCATGGTTGATGAAATTCAACACAAAAAAATGAGATGATACAAGTTGACGTAAGTCTCAGTAGAGATATTACAAGCCAAGTGACACAATGTAAAAGCAAGTCTACAATGAGATAGACCTGAAGGTACTTGTGTACAAATCTGTACAAAAATGCTGCACTAATCTAGTTTTGGTATCAAACCTCAAAGGAGAATAAGAAAAGACATTCTCCAAATCACAGGTAGGCCATTAATCTATCAAATATAAAGAGTTATTACACTGAGATACTAAAATCAGCATGAGCAAAACCAGGAAAAATGTAAAAACTCAGCTTCTGCAAAAGATAGGTGAACAGCTCACTCCAACATAAAAAAGCCAAGGTGGTTTCCATCACTGACTGACCTACTATGTATTTCCAGAATTGCTGCTTTCATTTTACAGACTATAATGGTTGCCCACAATTCTCCCCCATAACAAAAAAAGAAGTTGTAGTGATTGGAAGCAGGTGAACCTCAATGACTACGAGATCCTTAACTGAAGTTTGTTAATCTGGGCCAATCAGGAAGACCTGGCTGACCAATATAAACAGGGGATTTTGAATCTCCTCAGTTCAGGGGACTGACTCTGAGCTGGCTGGCCACAGCCAGTGTACTGTGCACAAGTGAATAAGGGGTGATTTGGTTTCGGGATACCGGCCTCTGTGCAGTTATTTCAAAATTTAATTCAGATGTGAGTTTACATTTTGAAAGCTAATCTTATTGATATGAAATGTGCCTTCAGAACATAGCCTCACCCACTCAAGGCCACTTTGCTTGAGACATTTCTGAAATAATTCAAACCCAGTGTCAACTGGTGCTCATGGGAAGCATTGTTTGCCTCAGAACAAGGTGGTTATAGATTCAAGTCACAGTTCAGAGGCTTGAGCACCTAATTCAGGTTGACAGTCAAGAATAGGGTTTCCTCTGTCCTGTGCTATGGGACCAGTAGGGGGGAGGCGATGACCTAACAGTATTATCACTGGAGTGTTAATCCAGAGACCTACATAATGTTTTGGTTCGAATCCTGCCACAGCAGATGATGGAATTTGAACTCAATAAATATCTGGAATTATGAGTCTAATGAAGACCATAAATCCATTGCTGATTGTTGGGGAAAAACCCCTCTGGTTCACTAATGTCCTTTAGGGAAGGAAACTGCCATCCTTACCTGGTCTGGCCCACATTTGACTCCAGACCCACAGCAATGTGGTTGACTCTTAAATGCCCTCTGGGCAATTAGGGACGGACAATAAATGCAGCCAGGCCAGCGACGCCCTCATCCCATGAATGAATAGAGATTTTAAAAAAGTTGCTTTCTAGGGGAGACATTAAGCAGAAGCCTCACCTGTCCCCTCAGTGGAGGTAATTTGCAGTATTTGGAAAACAACAGGTGAATTAAGGACATTAGCTGTTCATTGCCTCATTTGTGTTTGTGGGATCTTGCTGTGCATACTGTGGCTGCTGTGTTTCACAATATTATAGCAGTGAATACACTTCATAAGTATTTTATTGTCTGTAAAGTGTTTACGAAGCTCTGAAGTTATGCAAGATGCTTTGCTACGTTATCTCAAAACCATTGAAGAGTCACAAAAGGAAGATTTCTGGTATGCTCTGAGGAACTATTCAGCCAAGGAATTCAATGTGTCACTTTAATCTCACAGTTACTTGGTTGCACAGCATGTCAGCATTACTGAAAGAGAGAGGACCACTGTGAAAGTTTTCTTGCACTCATCAGGGCAGGTATAAAAATATCAAATGCCAGAGGGAGCAACAATCTATATTGCATAAGATAAAGGTACTGATTGACAATTTGGATCTGATTGGTCAAGGAGTTGCCATGGCCAATTCATCAGGGAACTTTAGGGCCCCATGCTTTTGTTTGATTTAAATAAGATGCAATTTCTGGACACATTGTTCTTGTTCACACAGGGCACTCTTTTAAATAAAACCCAGAAAACAAAAATCAATCAACAGCATCACAATCAGCATGATATCAGTCACCTAGCTGACAAACCTTTCTTATTAATTCCTCTGCACTAAACAACTCAAAAGATGCTGAACAATTAAATAAGTGCAAAGCTTTCACGACCAAAACTGTGTTATTCAGAATCAACACTGACTCAAGAATACAAAGATTCTAAAGAGTTGGATCAAACATACAAGACTGTCCATATCAATCTTTTCTCATTTGTAACAATTGTAACAACAACCTTCATTTACAGGGGTCCTTGATTAATGATTATCCAATTTGCAAATGGACTCAAACTCATTCACAAGCCAGGGATTACCTGCATACAGTGCTTTCAGCATTGGGGAACTGTTGGTTTTGATGTTCCAAAGCAGCTCCCACAGATTGGAAGGTAGCAAATGCAGCATGTTTATTCAAGAAGGGAGGAAGGAAGTAAGCAGGGAACTACAGGCCGGTTAACATGACATGAGAAATAGGGAAAATATTAAAATGGCATTATACACATGGGAACTGGGCACATAAAATAACCAAGCAGAGATCGTACAGATTTACAAAAAATGCTGCATTTAACAATTCTTTGAGATTTTTGAGGATGTTACTAGTGAGATGGATAAAGGGGGAATGGGTGAGTGCTATGTATTTGCATTTTCAA